TGGATGCAATGCGTAGCCAGTGACATGCAGGCCTTCCAACGACACCTGCGAAAGGCATGGGATACTTTTCAAAACCAGCAGCTGGATCTATTAAAAACTGTTACGTTGTACGGATGACCAAACAGATTTATCCAGGTTTGATTAACAACTGTGAGGATGACCAAGAGAAGTTGGGATTTTTCTGCTATGAGTGCAATCAGTCGTTTGCCTCAATCGCTGGGCATCGCGGGCATTGGACCCGCGTACATCAGCCAGCAGACCCAGCGCAACTGTATGCCGATGGGTCAGAGTGTCAGTGGTGCGGGGCTGTGTTCTACGACCGTGCAGGTCTGCTGCGACATCTGCGCAGACCGACGGGGGCTTGCTTGGGTATCTTGATGACTTGCGTCGCGCCCCTGGACGACGTGGCGGTCGGACAGTGGTTCGAGCTGGACGGGGAGCAGGCCATGCAGAAGAGGAAGTCAGGTCTTCGTGCAGACGCGCAGCTCAAGCCAGCCCTCCCTGGACTAAGACAACCAGCTGTTCCTGATGTGCGCCCGCTGCCACCAAATGTTGTACTTCCCCCCGGGCAGCGCGTGCCGCCCCCGTTGAGAGCTGGGACCAGGACTCACGCATTTGTGCTGCACATGGGATGGGGGCCAAGGACAATCAATTATTTCTCTGATGTTATGGGCAAGGGTATTGGTCTTTTCAACTGTACGGTACTTTATCTGGATTGTGAAGACCCGTGTGTGACTACTAGACTGGAGAGTACTTTGTTCCTGGATAAGATGTTAAGTTGGATTCAATCTGGTGTTGTGATGGGAGTTATGGTTACACCCCCGTGGGCATCGTGGTCTGCGACGTTCCGACGGGCTGGCGCCGCCGGCGGGCTCGCCCGACCTGCATGCCATCCTTGGGGCGCTGACTTTGTCCCTGCTTGCTGGGCCAAGAAGCTGCGCAGAGAGAACGCTGGGATCAGGGCAGGCTCGCTGCTCTTGGCCGCCGCGGCTGCTGCTGGCTCTGTGGGAATATTGCTGCATTCTGTCCAAAGGGTCGACTGCGCTGCGGATATATGGAGTACCGAAGTCCTGAGTTCCCTAGCAAGTCAACCCGAGGCAAGAGTGGGGTGCTTTGACCTCGCCGACTTTAGCCTACCGCAGCGTGCAGTTGGTCGAGTATTGGCGCTCCACTGCCCCCAAATTTCGGAGTGCTGCAGAGGGACGGTTGGGAGTACTGCAGAGCGACGGTTGGGTGTATACCAGCGGCCTCTGGGAGTTGGTGGGGGAGGCGCTGATGCTGGCACAGCCTGCGCTGCGGAGCGACGCTACTGCGGGCCTCGCCGACGACTCCGAGTTTCTGCCCTTCCTCGCCCCTCCCGAGAGGTACCCAGTCCCGTTGGAAGAACTACAAGTGTACGAGCCAGTCGAAGGATCGCTTGTGCTGCCTGTGGGGCTCCCTGATGATATGTGTGGTGGTTTTCTTCACATGGAAGCCCCGCGTGGTGGCTAAAGCGGTAGGGGATGAAACAAACCCAAGCGCCGCCCCGCTGGGCCCTTGACGCTGCTACTGCTCAGTTTACATTGCGGAGTCGCACAGGATTCTCAATTTCAAGTGCGTGCTGATGTCCACCATCGTGGAGGTGTTGTGGCGCGGCCAGTGTGGTGGCGAAAGCGGCAGGGGATACAACAAACCCCATGCGCCGCCCCGCTGGGTCATGGGTGGCGGCTCGCCTGGCCGTGTGCCGTGCGCTGGCTGGGTGCCGCTGCCGAGGTCGCCATCGTGAAAGTTGCGGATGCGGCCCAGCGTGGGGGCGTAAGCGGCAGGGGATGAAACAAACCCCAAGCGCCGCCCCGCTGGGACATGGGTGGCGGTCCGCCTGGCCGTGTGCCGTGCGCTGGCTGGGCGCAGCTGCCGAGGTCGCCGTGCACCTCGGCTCCATAGTGGGCGCCCGGCGGTGGGACCGCACATGAAGGGGTCCGTCGAGCTGGGGCGTTTCGGATGCATGTGGACTCCGCGGGGCATCCGCCCCTTGGGATGGGAGAGGGAGGAGGAGGAGGAGGAGGAGGAGGAGGAGGAGGAGGAGGAGGAGGAGGAGGAGGAGGAGGAGGAGGAGAGGAGGAGGGGGAGGAGGAGGAGGAGGAGGAGGAGGAGGAGGAAGGGAGGAGGAAGAGGAGGAGGAGAGGAGGAGGAGGAGGAAGGAGAGGAGGAGGAGAGGAGGAGGAGGAGGAAGGAGGAGGCGGAGGAGGAGGAGGAGGAGGAGGAGGGAGGAGGAGGAGGAGGAGAAGGAGGAGGAGGAGGAGGAGGAGGAGGAGGAGGATGAGGAGGAGGAGGAGGATGAGGAGGAGGAGGAGGAGGAGGAGGCCTGGCAGTGGAGGCAGATCAGCACCACGCTTGGCTGCCCTGAGCTCAAGTCAGGCATCTTGCTCGAGCCAGTCCTCAGTCTGCTCGATCGCTCTTCGCCGTTGTCGCCTGATGAAAAGGCCTATCTTCAATCCGTTGTCATCGGTGCCCAGTGGACGCAGCAGCGCATGTTTGAGGCCAAATACGTGCAGTCCCCGCTTTGCCGCGTCTGTCATGATTTCCCTGGCACGTTGTACCACCGACATCTGTTGTGTGATGGGTTGGTCTCTGCCAGCTTGCAGCCCGCGGGCCCTCTCTGTCGTGTATTGCCGCAGGAACCCACCGAGCTTGTGCTGCTGCTTGGCAGCCGTGTGCTTCTTCCTTTCGACAGGTTCCCGCAGCGGCCAGAGCCCGCGCCAGAGCAGTTCTACCTTGGTGAGCGAAGCTTGCTCACTGGGGATTTGTTCGTAGATGGATCCATGTATGATCACGATGTGCCCAATGCTGTCGTCACTGGTTGGGCTGTCATTGCCATGCATCCAGATCCTCCCCCTCCGAGGGCTCTCGATGACTGTCGTGTTTCGGTTGTCTTCGGAGGCGGAGTCGAGGGCCCAATTCAGTGCATTGATCGTGCTGAGTTGGTGGCGGTTTTGAATACTCTCAGAGCTGCCATGCCACCCGTCACCATCCACACTGATAGTGATTTTGTTTTCTCAGGTGTTGTCAAGCGTGGGCGGGAAGCATGCTGTGATTTGCTCTCCGCCCATGCTGATGTCTGGGAGCTTCTCTGGACAAAGTTAGAGGACTGGGGTGGGGTGGGGCCCGATTCCGTCACGTTTGTCAAAGTCAAGGCCCACCCCACCCCAGAGCAGCGCCGTGCCATCGACCCACGCCTTCTCGCTGGCAATCGATTTGCCGACGAGTGGGCGAAAAGGATAACGAGCCTGGGGCGCTTGGATTTCGAGCTTCGCGATCGGTGTCGGAAGTTTTTGAGGCTTGTGCGCGCGGTGGGGGAGCAGGTCGGCAGGGCCGCCCCCCTCGCGTCCACCGACACCGAGCGCCTCACGGCGTCCCAGATCAAGGCGGCTCGCGCCGCGCGGCGCCAGGCCAGCGAGCTGGCCGCCGCCGCCGCCGCTGCCGCCGCCGCCCTCGCCCCACCTCCGCGTGCCCCCCCCCCCGTCGTGTCGTTCTCGCTGGGGGGCACGCTCTGAGGAGGTGGGTCAGCGTGGAGCGTGGCGATAATTCGGGCGGTGTCGTTTGTGTTAGTTGTGGCGCCATTTGTTCTTCGCAAGTGGTCAAGTTGGGCCAGGTCTGTGGGCGTCCCTCGGCCTGGGGCAGGAGGGTCCTCAAAGGCCTTGACCAGAGGAGATTGTTCTTTCGGGGCCGCTGGATTGCTGTTCAGCTTGGTCCCCTGGTTCCTGAGAGCTCGGAGGTGAGCTGACCTCGAGCTGTGTACAGCGGTAGGGGGCAGGCTCACTGACCCCCCGTTGTTGGCAATCTGTGTCGCAGGAGGAGGAGGAGGAGGAGGAGGAGGAGGAGGAGGAAGAGGAGGAGAGGAGGGGGAGGAGGAGGAGGAGGAAGGAGGAGGAGGAGAGGAGGAGGAGGGAGGATGAGGAGGAGGAGGAGGAGGAGGAGGAGGAGGAGGAGGAGGAGGAGGAGGAGGAGGAGGAGGAGGAGGAGGAGGAGGAGGAGGAGGAGGAGCAGCAGGAGGACAGCAGTGCACCAAATAGGTGCACCAAATGAGGAATCGGCTTGCCGCAGGTGCCCCACGGGACATGTTGAAACCCGACGTCCCCGACCTTTTGTTTGAGTTCTGGGGTCATCCTGCGAGGTCCAAAGCCGACCCACCAATATGCCCTTGGATACCTTACAGCAATCTTCCCCGACGTACGCGTACATCAGTATATGCTGTAGAGGGGTTGCTGATGACCGGCCGACTGTGCTGTAGGCAATCCTGTGGGGATGCACTGGAGGGGTTTGCTGCTACGCCAGCGTCGCGACATTCCCCTGCGACGGGGCGCGAGAACGCCGAGCCGGGGAAAACAGGCGAAGCGCTGGCTGACTGTTGCTCGTGGCTGCGGCTCTGGCGGTCGGAACACACGCGTTCCAGTTGCCCCGCGGGCTGCTGCTACCTTGGCAGGTGGCTTGTGCGTCGTGAGCACACGAGTGCCCTTTTGTTTTCGCAGGTTTCTATAGGCGTTCTATAGGTTCTGGGGCGATTCTATAGGTTTCGGGAGCGTTAATCGGCGTTTCTATAGGTTTCTGGCGCGTTAATCGGCGGCGTTTCTGGGGCGTGAATCGGCGGTTTTCTATAGGCGTTACACGTGGTCTGGACGATTCTGCGGCGTTCTGTCGGTTTCTGGGGCGTTAATCGGCGTGCCAGTTCTAGGGCCTAGGGCTCGCTCTGAGACTCGTGTTGCCCTCGGGGTTCGAGGGGGTCTCGGGGGTTGCAGCTCCTCCTCATCCTCTTCCCTCCTCCTCCTCCTCCTCCTCCTCCTCCTCCTCCTCCTCCTCCTCCTCCTCCTCCCCTCCCCCCTCCCCCTCCTCCTCCTCCTCCTCCTCCCCCTCCTCCTCCCCATGTTTCTCCCTCGCCTCGCCTCCCTCGCCTCGCCTCCCTCCCTCCTTCCCTCCCCCTTTCACCTCACCCTTGTCGCCGTACTCCTTATCGCATGCCCGAGGCTCGTCCTCGACTCGGTGTAGCCGAGAACGACTTCAAGGTTGGCATCGATGTGATAAAGTTGGTGGCTACCTTCTCCGCCCTGCACTTGGTAGACAGGCGCTTCTCCCCCCTGTCCCCCTGACCCTCCTGGGCCTCTTCCTCCTGATGCGCGCGTAACGAAGGCGGTCGTACCGTCCTGAGTCGTTTACCCGATCCTTCTTCTCTCTCCCCCCTGTCCTCATCCTCGTCCTGCTCCTCCTCCTCCTTCTCCTCTTCCTCCCTCTCCTTCCCTCCCTTTCTCTCCTCCTCTCCTCCTCCTCCTCCTCCTCCTCCTCCTCCTCCTCGTCTCCTCGTCCTCCTCCTTCTCCTCTTCCTCCCTCCCCCCCCATCTCCGACGCATCAAGAATGAGAAGCAACCCCTTACTCGCGCATCCGCCCGAAACTTTACTGTTGGGCCTCCCCGAGTGTTTCACGCCGGAGGGAGCGGCTCGGCCAACCGCCCCTTTCCGAAGCAGGGAGGACGAGGCTCTTAGGCGTCCAGGCATTCGGCCTCCAGCCCTCGAGCTTGCCCCCCCCTTAGGGGGCCGCATGTGAACCCTACCCCTGCCCCCCACGATTTCTGAGGGGTGGGGTTCACTTCGCTCGGGAGCTCCCGAACGAAGTGAACCCCACCCCTCGTCTTGCTCTCCCCCCTCCTCCTCCCTCCTCCTCCCTCCTCCCCCCTCCTCCTCCTCCTCCTCAGAAATCGTGGGTCTCGCGCGCGGCCCCCGACCCCCGTGCCTCTCCTGCCCGCGCCCCGCTCTGCCGCCACTCCCCCGTGGCTCCTGCTGGGTCTGCTCATGCTCCCCCCCTGCAGGGGGCCCGGGCGCCCGCCCGCACGAGCGGTCCGCTCCGCTCCGCTCCGCTCCGCTCCGCTCTCTCCGTGCCTCCTCCTCCCTCCTCCTCCTCCTCCTCCTCCTTCTGCTCCTCCTCCTCCTCCTCCTCTTCCTCCTCCTGCTCCTCCTCCCCCTCCTGCTCCTGCTCCTCCTCCTCCTCCTGCTCCTCCTGCCTCCTCCTCCTCCTCCTCCTCCTCCTCCTCCTCCTCCTCCTCCTCCTCCTCTTCTGCTCCTCCTCCTCTCATCCTCCTCCTCCTCCTCTTCCTCCTCCTGCTCCTCCTCCCCCTCCTGCTCCTGCTCCTCCTCCTCCTGCTCCTCCTGCTCCTCCTCCTCCTCCTCCTCCTCCTCCTCCTCCTCCTCCTGCTCCTCCTCTGCGGCGCGAAGATGCCGGCGTTCCTCGCGCCCCGCGGCCTGACCCGGAGCGCCGCGCCTTTCAAGGGGAGCGGGGCGGGGGCGCGAAGGCAAGCGCGAAGCTGGATGACCTCAGCACCGCTGGACCAATCCCCATCCGCACCTGCAAACCTTTTGGCCTCGCTGTCTGGCCTGCCCTCCTCCCTGGGTGGGGATGGGTGCCGCCTCCGTCGGGCTTTGCAGTTCAGTCAACCCGCATAGTAAGGATGGGCAACCTTCCCAAGGGTACCCTTGCATCCTTGCCTTCTCGGCCCATCCTTGGCCGCTTTCGTTGGCCGCGGCCCGCTCGAAAAGCTTCGAGATGGGCGTCCAAGGCCCTTGCATCCTTATCGCGCATCCGTACTGTGCGGGTTGACTGTAGGCTGGTGGCGCTGCAAGGATCCTTGGTCCATTCGGGATGGGGATGAGGTCTCCGATGTCGTGTTTTTTTCGTTGCCCCCCCCCCCCCCCCCCCCCCGAATCGGACCTCAGGAGGTCTGGACGCCTCCCCCAGGCCTGGTTTTTGAACCCGAGTCGTCCTCGACGGTCCTGGGGCCCTCGGCAAGGCCGAACTGCTCTGCACCGCTCTTGTCGTGACTCTGCTCGCTGGCGATTCTGATGACCTGGGTGCCGCGCGGACAGGTGTGGGCGGCTCACTCTGCTGGTCTGGGGCGCCTCGGGCATGGCCCTGGCCTGCGGCGCGGTGGGCCTCGTCGGGCGGCAGCTGGCGTTGGCCGAGGACGGGGAGGCGGGCGGCTTCGCGCTGCGGGCGGCGATGGCCTCGGCTGTGCTCTTCTTCGCGGCGAGCTTCGCGTACGGCTGGGGCTCCGTGACCTGGGTCCCCGGGAGGTGGGGGGGGCACTCGCGCGGGCGCGGCGCGGCAGTGTCGGCCCGGCTCCACGTATCCTCGGGGTGTCCGGAGTCGGCGTCCTGTGGGGATCAGGGAGCTGGTCCCAGGACCCCCCCTGGGGTCCATCTTGGCCGGTCTCCCGAGACGCGCCCAGCTGCTGCGGCGAGGACATCCAGAGACGCTCCAGAAAGGCTCCAGCCTGGAGAAGAACATCCAGAGCGTTGGTGGTGGTGGTGGTGGCCTCCTTCTCCCCAGGTCTACTGCGCGGAGATTTTTCCTGAGGCACCGGGGCGACGATGTCCAACTGGGTCGGGAACTACCTCGTCCTCTGGGGCCAGAGCGCCCGCTCTTACGTAATCGCCCATGTGGCCTTCCTCCTCTGTCGACCCCTGTCCGAGGAGAATGATGATGATGATGATGATGATGATGATGATGATGATGATGATGATGATGATGATGATGATGATGATGATGATGATGATGATGATGATGAGGATGAGGATGAGGATGAGGATGAGGATGAGGATGAGGATGAGGATGAGGATGAGGATGAGGATGAGGATGAGGATGAGGATGAGGATGATGAGGATGAGGAGGAGGAGGAGGAGGAGGAGGAGGAGGAAGGAGGAGGAACGATGAACGAGGAGCGAGAAAGGAGGACGAAGAAGGAATAATGAAGCAGGAAGAAGGAAGGAGGAAGGAGGAGGACCAGAAGAAACCCACAGCGCATCAACGATGTTGCAATAAACCTCCCTTCAAGTTCCCTGTTCATAGGTCCCTACAATAAGTTATGCTCATTGCAGGGAGTGGCCCAGAGACGACAACCGTAAATAATCCCTGATCGTGCTAAAACCATGATTGAGACTTCGACGCCGCGGATCAATGTGACTGTTGCGTCCTGACAATCTCAAGCTGTGCCAGAACACCACCCCTGGGACTTCAACGCCGCGAATCAGTGTGAGTGTTGCTTCCTGACAGTCCTAATCTGTGCCAGAGCACCGCTCGTGGGTCTTCAACCATACGAGTCCTCGAGCATGCTGCAATTTCTGAAGACGAGCATGCGCGGCGCTGCGGCGAGAGCCACACTTTGACGAGGAGCCTTGAAGCTGCTGCACACTCTGAAGGCACATGTGCGCGGCGCTGAGGCGAGAGCCACAGGTTGAAAACGAACCACCTTCCATCCTTGAAATTGCTGCAGACTTTTGAGACGAATGTGCGCGGCGCTGAGGCGAGAGCCACATCTTGAAGACCTTCGGTCCTTCACCCTTGAAACGGTTGCCGACTTTTAGAACTAGAGTGCGCGGCTCTGAGGCGAGGGCCAAATTTTGAAAACCGCCTGTCCTTTCATCCTTGGAGCGGCTGCAGACTTTTCAACTTCGTGTGCGCGGCGCTGAGGCGAGAGCCACATACTGAAAACCACCTGTGCTCCATCCTGGAACACTTCAAGCTGCAGGAGTATGGGTGGTGAGGAAGTTGGAGGCGAAACGCCCAGCCCGCCCTGCTCACATGTCTGGGGGTGCGACATGCCTGAGCTCCTCCTCCTCCTCCTCCTCCTGCTCCTGCTCCTCCTCCTCCTCGGTGGTGGTGGCAGTGGTGGTAATCGTCGCTGCGTCCCCGCCGTCGGCGCTGCTGGCCGCCGCCAGCGCCCGGCGCCGGCGCCGGGGGGGGGAGAGGAGGTTTTGAACCCACCATCCCTTGGGAGGGGGAAGGGGGCCGGGAGGGGGGGGGTTAGGGGGGAGGGGAGTCCCCCTGGTTCTGATCGACGGCGCCGACTCTTGGCGGGGGGGGCCCACCCCCCGGTTCGAAACGCGCCGCCGAATGTTCCCAAGGCAAGCGCCCGTGAAACGCGCTCACTCAACGCTTTGAACCCCCGCCGAGCAGGCGCAGAGCGTCGGCCGGCCCGCCGACTCGGCCGAGCAGGTGTTCTGCTGA